CCGCAGCAATCCCTCGTCTCTGCCTCACCTGGTCTAAGCAGGCGCAGCACCCCCTTGTCTCAGCATTCAGCAAATTCCAGCAGCTGACTGCAGCCCTCCTGTGGTCCTCCTCCAGACCCTGAACTTTCTGCATCCCAGCTCCGCCTCCAGCATTTTCCCAGCAACAGCACAAGGTAAGGGGGTTGCACTGTGAAATAAACTAGGGGGGGGGGGACTCTTGACTTCTGATGGTAAAGGGGGGGGGGGGGGGGGCTCTTGACATCTGATGGAAGGGGGGGTGGGGTGGGGTGCTTTGGACATCTAGTCTTAGAGGGCAACCATAATGCTGATGCGGCCCCCCCGGTGAATTTGAGCTTGACACCCCTGGTCTAAGCAGCTTGACACCCCCTGGTGTCTAAGCAGCTTGACACCCCCGGTCTAAGCAGCACGTGGTAGAAAAGGGTGGTCATGTGTAAATCATTATTAGTGCCCTGTGTGCAGAACATACAACACGGAGTACAGCTTCATACAGAATGTACCACGTCCCAGCTTCCGGGCATCTTCCCGGAATCAACATTTTCCCTTCTTTGTATCCCTTTGCGATAACAATAAAGTTGATTAAAAAAAATTAAAACATCCCCATCCCCCAATGCTCATGCACAAATGCAAACGTGCAGGTAGGTCCCACGCGCATATTTAAACAGTGATCGCACCACATGTGCGGTATCGCTGCGAATGTCATAGCATGAGCAATGATTCTATCACCAGACCTCCTCTGTAACTCCAAACTGGTGACCTGCAAAGGTGTCGCCTGTGGAGAACCGAATGTCCTGGAGTTCGTTGCTGTTCCGCGGGCATGCGCAGTTTTAAAGCATGACGTGTTTGGTATCTATTTACTCGGTGGAACATCTTTTATAGTAACAGCAAAGTGGCGAGCGGGCGATCAGATATGATTATTGCACCACATTCCTTAAAATTGAAAATATTCAATAGAGAAGATGGGACTTTCAGGGTGCATGAACATGGATACCAAACATATTAAAAAGTTATATAATTTTTATTTTGTATTTTTGTAAAAAACACAACAAAAAAGGAAAAAAATACAGAAACATAAAAGCAATTTCAGTACTAAGAGTAAAACTGAGATTCAGACTTGGTTATGTAATTGTAGTTACTCCCTATGTGTTTCGGTTGCAATTTCTTAAAAAAAAATCCCCCCTGAAGAAGCCCGTGAGGGCGAAACACGTAGGGAGTAACTACAATTACATAACCAAGTCTGAATCTCAGTTTTACTCTTAGTACTGAAATTGCTTTTATGTTTCTGTATTTTTTCCTTTTTTGTTGTGTTTTTTACAAAAATACAAAATAAAAATTATATAACTTTTTAATATGTTTGGTATCCATGTTCATGCACCCTGAAAGTCCCATCTTCTCTATTGAATATCTTCTTTTATAATTCACAAAAAAAAATGGGTTTTATATTGTGTTTGTGTGCACTAAAATTCATTAACCCCTTGACCCCGACCGTATGCGAATATACGGCCTCTCGGGGGCTGGGCCTTGATGCTGACCGTATGCAAAATGCAGCCTCTCGGGGGCTGGGCCTTGTCGCTGACCTATGCAAATATGCGGCCTCTCGGGGGCTGGGCCTTGACCCATATGCAAATATGCGGCCTCTCGGGGGCTAGGCCTTGATGCTGACCGTATGCAAATATGCAGCCTCTCGGGGGCTGGGCCTTGTCGCTGACCTATGCGAATATGCGGCCTCTCGGGGCTAGGCCTTGACGCTGAATATTATGCGAATATGCGGCCTCTCGGGAGCTGGGCCTTGACGCTGACCGACGCAAATATACGGCCTCTCGGGAGCTGGGCCTTGACGCTGACCGTACGCAAATATGCGGCCTCTAGGGAGCTGGGCCTTGACGCTGACCTATGCGGCCTCTAGGGGGCTGGGCCTTGACGGACCGTACGCAAATATGCGGCCTCTAGGGAGCTGGGCCTTGACGCTGACCGTACGCAAATATGCGGCCTCTCGGGGGCTGGGCCTTGACGCTGACCGTACGCAAATATGCGGCCTCTCGGGAGCTGGGCCTTGACGCTGACCGTACGCAAATATGCGGCCTCTCGGGGGCTGGGCCGTGGCCTTGACGCTGATCATATGCAATATGCGGCCTCTCGGGAGCTGGGCCTTGACGCTGATCGTATGCGGCTCTGGGAGCTGCCTTGACGCTGACCGTACGCAAATATGCGGCCTCTCGGGAGCTGGGCCTTGACGCTGACCGTACGCAAATATGCGGCCTCTCGGGGGCTGGGCCTTGACGCTGACCGTACGCAAATATGCGGCCTCTCGGGGGCTGGGCCTTGACGCTGACCATATGCAAATATGCGGCCTCTCGGGGCTGGGCCTTGACGCTGACCGACCAAATATGCGGCCTCTCGGGAGCGGCCTTGACGCTGATCGTATGGAATATGCGGCCTCTCGGGAGCTGGGCCTTGACGCTGACCGTACGCAAATATGCGGCCTCTCGGGGGCTGGGCCTTGACGTCGACCATATGCGAATATGCGGCCTCTCGGGGGCTGGGCCTTGACGCTGACCGTATGCGAATATGCGGCCTCTCGGGGGCTGGGCCTTGACGCTGATCGTATGCAAATATGCGGCCTCTCGGGGGCTGGGCCTTGACGCTGACCATATTCAAATATGCGGCCTCTCGGGGGCGACGCCGACCGTGCGAATATGCGGCCTCTCGGGGGCTGGGCCTTGACGCTGACCATATTCAAATATGCGGCCTCTCGGGGGCTGGGCCTGGACGCTGAGCGGCCGCATAATTGCGTACAATTTAATAACACATATGTGCTGAGAGCGTGTATGTCGGAGTCTCACGGAAAGGTCCCAATCTCCCATTGCGATCGGGACCTTTTCCGATCATGTGACCGCCGTGACAGCGAATCATGGCGCTCACATAACCCTAAAAACCCCGCCCCACCTCCCGGCGTCTGAAACCCCTTAAAGGGCCGGGAGGTGCCGATGTGAAGAGGTTAGAGTGCATTTTTTTCAAGAAATGTTCTTTCGAAAAACAAAATGCCGTGTGACGTAATGAAGCACGCCGTTTTATTCTCCAGGGCCTCTGCTCAAGATATATATAAAGTTTGGGGGCTCTGAGTAAGTAATTTTCTAGCCCCCCAAAAATGCCGATTATTACATGAAGGAGTGAAGTGCCCAGAATTAGCCTGGCAGGCGAGTGATTAAACATCATTTTATTGGGCGATGATTGGTGAGGATGGATGGGCTGACATCTCTCTGTGGAGGATCTGTTCACACTGCTGCGACTTTCCTGCAACTTTACACTCTCTGGTACTCAAGCCGCACGAAAGTTGCATCTAAGTAGCGCAGGGACCTTTTTAAAGTCGTGTAGATCAGAACGGTGCCATTGAAATCAATGGGCTGCGACTTGTAATGCGACTTTATGGGGTTCATTCACTAAAGCTTGAGAGTGCAAAATCTGGTGCAGCTCTGCAGAGAAACCAATCAGATTCCAGGTTTTATAGTCAAAGCTTCATGGAACAAGCTGAAGCTGGATGCTGATTGGCTGCCATGCCCGGCTGCACCGGATTCTGCACGCTCCAGTTTTAGTAAGGCCGGCCATACACGGGTCAATTTCCGAATGATTTTTTCGTTCAAAATTCAGACCTAAGAATAATCGACCAATTTTCACTGTTAGTGGGGCAATGGCACCGAACGATTTTCGTGGTTCCTCCCTATTTAGTTCATCAGGCATGTTGAAAAATTTGTGAAAAACGACTGATTTTCAAAATCATTGCTGGCACCATCAGATTACAGAGCGAACAACGTTTTTTTCCCCTATGTGTCTAAGATCGCATGACAAGTCGCACAAGTGTGAGCCGAGCCTGGCAGGTGACCATTGTTGTCTGTGACCCCATTTGTGAGGTTACCTCACTTCCTGTCCCATTCATAATGTCCTTCCATCAGCTTTGTATTGTTGCTTGGAGCTGAAAATGGCGGATGGAAGGCGTCCTCTTCCCAAAGGGAACAAAGACTGAAGTATTTCCCGACCCTTCCCTGTGATCTGCGACTCCGCCTAACATATCACGTTGTGGTTCTAATGATGCTTCTTATTCTGGCAGTGCAGGAACATGGTATAAATATGTGTCTGTGACTCTTCCTCCCCTCCTTCCTTCCCCTTCCATCCTTCCTTCATTCCTCCCTCCCTTCCATCCTTCCTTCATTCCTTTTCTTCCTCCCTCCCCCCCCTTCCCTCCTCTGTCCCTCCCTCCCTTCCCTCCTTCCTTCCTTTCCTTCCATCCTCTCTCCCTTCCTTCCTTCCTCCCTCCCTCTGTCCTTCCTTCCTTCCTTCCCTCCTCTCTCCGTTCCTCCTTTCCCTCTCTCCCTCCCTCCTTCCTTTCCCCTTCATTCCACCCTTTCTTCCTTCCTTCATTCCTCCCTCCTTCCCTTCCCCCCTTCATTCCTCCCTCCTTCCCTTCCCCTTCATTCCTCCCTCCTTCCCTTCCCCCTTCATTCCTCCCTCCTTCCCTTCCCCTTCATTCCTCCCTCCTTCCCTTCCCCTTCATTCCTCCCTCCTTCCCTTCCCCTTCATTCCTCCCTCCTTCCCTTCCCTTCATTCCTCCCTTTCTTCCTTCCTTCCTACCTCCCTTCCTCCTTCCCTCCATCCCTCCTCCTCCTCTCTCCCTTCTTTCCTCCCTCCCTTCCCTCCTTCCTCTCTTCTTTCCTCCTTTTTCCTTCTTCCTTCCTGACTTTCCTCCTTTCGTTTCCTCCCTCCCTCCCTTCCTTCCTTCCTTCCTTCCTTCCTTCCTTCCTTCCTTCCTTCCTTCCTCCTTCCTCCCTCCCTCCCTCCCTCCCTCCCTCCCTCCCTCTGTCCCTCCCTCCCTTGTCCTCCCTTCCTCTGTCCCTCCCTTCCTTCCTCCCTTCCCTCCCTTCCTTCCTCCCTCTGTCCCTCCCTTCCTTCCTTTCTTCCTCCCTTCTTTCCTTCCATAGCTCCAGGAGCTCAGCAGTTCTGCTTCTTACTGTCCACCAGAGCTGGAGGTCTCGGGATAAACCTGGCCACCGCTGACACCGTCATTATGTATGACTCCGACTGGAACCCCCATAACGACATTCAGGTCAGCCTCTTCTGGTGGTCTGTGCTGGGCTCTGGGCAGCCAGGTGAAATGCAGCTTCAGCAGGAAGTTGTAGCGGGATTGGGCAAGGTATGGTGGAACCAGGGCATGGTATGGTGGAGCCCGGACATGGTATGGTGGAGCCAAGGCATGGTATGGTGGAGCCAGGGCATGGTATGGTGGAGCCAGGGCATGGTATGGTGGAGCCCAGGCATGGTGTGGTGAAGCCAGGGCATGGTGTGGTGGAGCCTGGGCATGGTATGGTGGAGCCAGGGCATGGTATGGTGGAGCCAGGGCATGGTATGGTGGAGCCAGGACAAGGTACGGTAGAGCCCAGACAAGGTACGGTAGAGCCCAGACATGGTACGGTGGAGCCCGAGCAAGGTACGGTGGAGCCCGGCATGGTATGGTGGAGCCAGGGCAAGGTATGGTGGAGCCAGGGCAAGGTATGGTGGAGCCAGGACATGGTACGGTGGAGCCAGGACATGGTACGGTGGAGCCAGGGCATGGTGTGGTGGAGCCAGGGCATGGTGTGGTGGAGCCCAGACATGGTGTGGTGGAGCCAGGACATGGTAGAGTCAGTCACCCCATCCTGTAACACTTCTGCCCCGGAGGATCAGCCTCTGTTTCCTGCACCTTAAAGGGTAACTCCACTTTCGTAGGAAAAAAAAAAATATATTGTTTACAATCGTGACTGAATGTTATAAAGAATGATCTTTCCTCATCAATCTGCAGCCGCTTTCATTTTCTGTAAAATGCAATATGGCGACCTGGAGGCGTTCTGTACTCAGATGGTATATGGACCGCCCCTACACATGTCATTTCCTGCTTCAATGATTGGCTCACTGATTTTCCCAGAGGTCTGCACTACGATACAAGCCAGTTTTTTTGCATCCCCTGCATCCCTTTTCGTGAGAGAGTCACTCTCTATAAAAAAAATCCCGTCTAAAAGGATGCAGACCCCCGCCACTTTCCTCATGAGAGGTGCAGCAGCTGATTGATGATGATAAAGTGGCTCCCATTCACACTCACTCCGCACGTGGACACAGAGACACAAAAAGTGATTTCTTCAGAATACAAAAGGTAGGAATCTGCTACAACGTTTGTTACAATCCTAACATTGTACAGAGATCAAAGGGGGGGGGGGGTGCACAAGAAAAGTGGAGTTACTCTTTAAGGCCCCGGTCACATCAAAGCCAATTTTGAAATCGTGGGACTTGTAGTGAAAATTGGGTGACTTGCTGGTTTCAGTTGTGATTTTCAAGACGTCCGACGCAGATATCTCAGCAAATCGCAACAAAAGTATCGCATGCACTTCTATAGAAATCGCTGCGGCTCCGACAGAGTCAGAACTGCGCCATATGACAATGGCTGCGACTCGGCAGCTTTGCAAGTCGCAGGGCAGGAATGCTGGGAATAGAACTGCTACAGCCAATCAGAAATGACTTTGCATCGCCTTCTTCTCAGGCTTTCAGCAGAGCGCACCGCATCGGCCAGACTAGGAAAGTAATGATCTACCGATTTGTGACCCGGGCGTCTGTAGAGGAGAGAATCGCTCAGGTGGCCAAGACAAAGCTTATGCTGACCCAGCTTGTGGTGCGCCCGCGGCGCGGGTCCAGCCCCGCCTCCATGACCAAGAAAGAACTGGAGGATATTATACGGTTTGGAAGCGAGGAGCTATTTAAGGATGATGAAGGTAAGGAGAGCGCCCCCATCTGGTCTGGTCAGTATATAATAAATGCGTTACTGTCCACCCGCAATCAGCAGACGGGGTGCACATGAAATGGAGGGGATTGGAACACCTGAATCACCTGAATCACATGATATGGAGGGGATTGGAACACCTGAATCACATGACATGGAGGGGATTTGAACACCTGAATCACATGAAATGGAGGGGATTGGAGCATCTGAATCACATGATATGGAGGGGATTGGAAAACACCTGAATCACATGATAGGGGATTGGAACACATCACATGAAATGGAGGGGATTGGAATACTTGAATCACATGATATGGAGGAGATTGGAACACCTGAATCACATGATATGGAGGGGATTGGAACACCTGAATCATGATAGGGAGGGGATTGGAACACCTGAATCACATGATATGGAGGGATTGGAACACCTGAATCACATGATTGGAGGGGATTGGAACACCTGAATCACATGATTGGGAGGGGATTGGAACACCTGAATCACATGATATGGGGGGATTGGAACACCTGAATCACATGATATGGAGGGGATTGGAACACCTGAATCACATGATATGGAGGGGATTGGAACACCTGAATCACATGAATCATGGAGGGGATTGGAACACCTGAATCACATGATATGGAGGGGATTGGAACACCTGAATCACATGATATGGGAGGGGATTGGAACACCTGAATCACATGACATGGAGGGGATTGGAGCACTGAATCACATGAAATGGAGGGGATTGGAACACCTGAATCACATGATATGGAGGGGATTGGAACACCCGAATCACATGATAGGGAGGGGATTGGAACACCCGAATCACATGATTGGAGGGGATTGGAACACCCGAATCACATGATAGGGAGGGGATTGGAACACCCGAATCACATGATATGGAGGGGATTGGAACACCCGAATCACGATTGGAGGGGATTGGAACACCTGAATCACATGATATGGAGGGGATTGGAACACCTGAATCACATGATATGGAGGGGATTGGAACACCCGAATCACATGATAGGGAGGGGATTGGAACACCCGAATCACATGATATGGAGGGGATTGGAACACCCGAATCACGATTGGGGGGATTGGAACACCTGAATCACATGATTGGGAGGGGTTTGGAAAATCTGAATCACATGACTTGGAGGGGGCGGGGACAATACATGGGGCAATATAGTGTGTGTTAATGGTGTTTGCCCCTCACATGTGAGGTATCACTGCAAACATCAGCCACCATCTCAGTCAGCCTGTGGAAAACCTGCTGGCTGGGAGAGAGACGATATGGCTGCCAGCCACAGGAGGCTAAATGTCGGACACAGAAAGCTGCGCTGCACCCCGGGGGAGAAAGTCGAAGGCAGCCTATAGCTTGCAGAGACAGAGGTGCTAGCTACAGTACTGCCCCTAGTGACAGGGAGGCCGCATAGGCGGGGTTGCTAATCACGCAATCTGTACACAGCCGTTATATAAACCGTGGGAGCAAATCTAGTGTGTATGTGGAGAGTAATACGTGTCCCTCTGTTCCCCGCAGGTGATGGCAAGGATGGTGACCACAGCAATGTCATCCACTATGATGAAGCCGCCATCTCCGCACTGCTGGACCGGGACCAAGACGCCGAAGAAACGCAGAATGAGTACTTCAGCTCCTTCAACGTGGCCCAGTATGCAGTGCGGGGGGAGGGCAGAACGGTAAAATGTTCTTGGTGTATACCACATTACAGAGAGCGAAAGGTCAGGGAATGTCTGAACGACTCACTTAGTCAGCTATAGCCATCATTTAATCATTCGATGAACCACAGTGCCTCCAGTACAGAAATAATGAAATCGACTATTGAATTATTTCTGGGTTCCATAGTTAGTCTGGCTGAAAAAAGACAAAAGTCCATCCAGTTCAACCATAAAACAAAAGTTATAATCCTCCACCCACAGTTGATCCAGAGGAAGGCAGAAACCCAGCAAAGCACGATCCAATTTGCTCCTGCAGGGAAACATTCCTTCCTGATCCCCCCGAGAGGCAATCGGACATTCCCGGATCAATAATCGGATATTCCCGGGATCAATAATCGGATATTCCCGGGATCAATAATCGGATATTCCCGGGATCAATAATCTGATATTCCCGGGATCAATAATCGGATATTCCCGGGATCAATAATCGGATATTCCCTGGATCAATAATCGGATATTCCCGGGATCAATAACACTGTTCAACAAATTTTTATTTTTTGCCAGTTTTGGAAACAAAAGGATCCATTTCTTAATGAATTTCACATTCTGAGTTCAAATATAACAATGAAATTTGTCAATTGGCTCTAGTTTTTCTGTAAACGGAAAGTTTTCTACTATAGGCGTAATGACTACATAATGCACAATAATTATATAGATAGATGTCTTTCCACAAATATAAAGCAAGTGATATTGATACATAACAAAGCCTAAATGGCAGAATATATTGCATAGGATTACCAAGAACAATTATAGCCATAAGCTAAGTTGAATCATTTTAATACTTAGGATTCTCACTAGTTTTGTCTTCAGTTTGTGTCGGTTTTGCTTCTCTTGGCTTTCTCTTGTATTCGAGGAAAGGGCTATCTCTTACAACTGTCCAGCAATAGTCAGCAAGCATTGATGGGCTCCATTTACCTTGATATCTTCTTTCCATAGCTGCAATGTCTTGATGGAAGCGCTCTCCGTGTTCATCACTCACTGCTCCACAGTTTGGTGGGAAAAAATCCAGATGCGAATGTAGAAAATGAATTTTTAGAGACATGTTGCAACCCAGATTTCTGTAAGTCTGGATGAGTTTTTCTACCACTTTCTTGTAGTCTGGTGTTTTATTGTTTCCAAGAAAATTTGATGTCACTGATACAAATGCTGTCCAGGCAGCCTTTTCCTTTCCACGCAACAGAGAAAGAAACTCATCATCATGAATAAGTTTAGGAATCTGTGGCCCAACAAAGACTCCTTCATTTATTTTTGCAGCACTAAGTGCTGGAAATTTGCTAATCAGGTACTTGAAACCTGCTTTATTCTTGTCCATTGCCTTAACAAAGTTTTTCATTAATCCCAACTTGATGTGTAATGGAGGTAATAAGATCTTATTGCTGTCTACAAGTGCTGGATAGTTAACATTTTTTTCTCCAGGCTGCAATGACTGGCGTAATGGCCAGTCTCTTTTGGCATAGTGCATTTCTCTCGCACGATTGTCCCACTCACAGAGGAAGCAGCAGTACTTAGTATATCCACCTTGAAGTCCAAGTAGGATAGCAATCACCTTCAGGTCACCACAAATCGACCATTGATGTTCATCATAGTTGATGCACCTTAAAAGCTCTTTCAAGTTTTCATACGTTTCTTTCATTGAAACTGCGTAAGCAACTGGAACTGACGGCAGCTGATTGCCATTATGGAGCAAAACAGCTTTAAGACTCGCCTTTGAAGCATCAATGACCAGCCTCCACTCATCGGGATCATAGCATACGCCGATGGCTGAGATTAAACCATGAACATTGTTACATACAGCAATATCACCTTCCTGGACGAAGAATGGGATCAGATCTTTCTGACGATGACGGTAGAAAGACGTACGAACATCACTTGCTAGGAGATTCCAATGTTGTAGTCTTGACCCCAAAAGCTCTGCCTTGTTCTTCGGAAGATCCAGGTCTCTGATAAGATCGCTCAATTCCACTTGTGTAATGAGGTGTGGTTCAGTGGGTGTGGATGGAAGAAAGTCTGGGTCATGTGAGGTTGACGGTTGATGACTACACGCTTCAGGTTCTTCCTCACTTGACTCAACCACGAAGGATTCTGGTGCTTTAGGAATTGGTAGCCCCTCTCCATGAGGAACTGGACGTATTGCCGATGGAATATTTGGATAGTGCACAGATAACTTTTTCTTCTTATTTAGCCCTTTTACAATTGGAGGCACCATACAAAAGTAACAATTACTAACATGATCTGTTGGCTCTCTCCAAATCATTGGCACAGCGAAAGGCATAGATGCCTTTTTTCCATTCAACCATTGCTCCAGTGCCGTCCCACAAGAATTGCAGCATATATGTGGTGCCCAGCTCTTGTCCTGGTCTCCTATCTTGCAGCCAAAATACAAGTTGTAGGCTTTCTTAATCATTCCTGTTATCCTCCTTTTTTGTGAGATAAAAGTTATTTCACCGCAGATATAGCAGAAATTATCTGCTTTATTCACACAAGTTCGAGGCATTACTGAGTAGCCTATATAAGCAGAAAACCAAATGTAAAGACGAACTACAATCAGCTACAGATACTGCAGCTTTTATGCAGTGAAGTGATGCAACTAAAGGCTAATATTGCATCATCTCAGTATACATGACATTTTCTATTGGTCACCAGTATCAATTGCGCAATATGCAGCTGAAGTTGCATCATAATTTTGAATGGCTTACGTCATTAGATGGGTGAATATATCATGGAAACTAGAGCCAATCAACATTTTTAGGGTCATTTTCGTTTTCAGCACCCCAAAATTATGTAAGATTAGCTAATTTTATGCCCAAAAACTTTTTACCTGTTGAACAGTGTAATCGGATATTCCCGGGATCATCAATAATCGGATATTCCCTGGATCAATAATCGGATATTCCCTGGATCAATAATCGGATATTCCCTGGATCAACGTTCCCTATAAATGTTATATTCAGTTATATTCTGTGTATCCAAGAAAGGATCCAGGACTTTCCTACAGCAATCCACTGAGCTGGCCACACCCACCTCTCGGGGTATTTTGCTGAATGCAGAAATTCGTTGATGAGCACGATACGATCGGTGTGTGGACCGCGGACTACAGAACATTCACTTTACAACCACCAACCATCAGACTAAGAGTCCGACACACAAAATCCATCTTCACAGCAGATTCATGTAGCAGGCATTTGGTGTCGCTCGAGGCTGGACAGGACTCAATCATCCCAATGGCAAGGAATCGGGGAGCACCATCCCAAGTAGTACCAGGACCTAGGCAGTGTGCAGGGAAGGAGGATAGACGCCACTCAAACCCGTCCCGAGGAGTCCTGTGAAGACACTGATCCCAATGGCCTCAGCCGTCACTCTGGCCACGCTTTGACGTGTTTTGCCCAACCCATACGGGGCTTGGTCACAGGCTGGGCGAAACGTGTCAGGGCATTGCCGGAGTGACGGCTGAGGCCAGGGGGATCAGTGTCTTCACAGGACTCCTCAGGACGGGTTTGAGCTGCATCTATCTTTGTACATATATTGGATTAAATGTACCTCCCCCCACTCAGCCTATTGGAAAATGGCAGCTAGGCGGGACTATGCTAATCAACAGCCAGGCACACAGACTAGCCAGGGAGCCCACCCCAGCCAGGTAGCCCACTCCAGCTAGGAGCCCACCTAGCCAGGGAGTCCACCCCAGCTGGGAACCCAGCTAGTCAGGAGCTCCCCACTCCTGACTAGCTGGGTTCCCAGCTGGGGTGGACTCCCTGGCTAGGTGGGCTCCTAGCTGGAGTGGGCTACCAGCCAGGGAGCCCACCCCAGCCAGGGAGCCCACCCCAGCCAAGGAGCCCACTCCAGCCAGGGAGCCCATCCCAGCCAAGGAGTCCACTCCAGCCATGGAGCCCATCCCAGCCAAGGAGCCCACCCCAGCTGGGAGCCCACCTAGCCAGGAGCTCACCACAGCCAGGGAGCCCACTCCAGACAGGAGCTCATCACAGCCAGGGAGCCCACTCCAGCCAGGAGCTCATCACAGCCAGGGAGCCCACCACAGCCAGAAGCCCACCTAGCCAGGGAGCCCACCCCAGCTGGGAGCCCAGCTAGTCAGGAGATCACCGCAGCCAGGGAGCCCACCCCAGCCAGGGAGCCCACCTCAGCCAGGAGCCCACCCCAGCTGGGAGCCCACTTAGCCAGGAGCTCACCACAGCCAGAGAGCCCACTCCATCCAGGAGCTCACCACAGCCAGGGAGCCACTCCATCCAGGAGCCCACCACAGCCAGGGAGCCCACCCCAGCCAGGGAGCCCACCTCAGCCAGAAGCCCACCTAGCCAGGAGCCCACCCCAGTCAGGGAGCCCACCCCAGCCAAGGAGCCCACCTAGCCAGGAACTCACCACAGCCAGGGAGCCCACTCCAGCCGGGAGCCCACTCCAGCCAGCCCAGCACCCCCACCCCTGAATACACAAAGTCCACGACACACGCTATCACTTGTATAGTCTGTCCTTCATAAAACAAGACTCATCCAATATCCCAATGGTCTGAAAAGTATAATTAATTTATCTTCATAGATTTCTTGAGGGAGATTGATAAATATATCTGGTGGAGGAGGTTCTCTAACTCAGTCCGCAGGAGGGCCACCATATTTCCTCTAACTGGCAACCTGTACAAGATGAATATTACTTCTCTCCATCCCCTCCAGAAGGGAAGATTTATTATCTGTATGCAGAGAATCCCCCCCAGCCTCGCTCACAGAGCTCATCACCTTGTTGTCCATCATTACAGAATGATCTGCTCTCTGCATGGGCCAGAATCAGTAGGCAGAAGGCTAGCCCCTAGTTCCCTCCAA